GCCCACAGGGCCCCGAAGAAAGGTGGTTGAGCTATCCAATCAGAGGTCGAAAGTGTTCTTCCCCTCTCCCCCCCCCCGCACACCGCCCATCCAACAATCGGAGCCGCTTTCAGTGGCAGAGCGCTGGACCAATCAGAGGGAGAGCACCTGCACTCGCACGCCTCTGCCAGATGGAACGACAGCAGTGTAATCCAATTGCTAGGGGGGTATGCCGAACGACAGTGATCTCCACCAATCCACAAAAGCACCGCTTACTCCCGCCCATCAAGCGACTTGAGTGACGGCGAGAGCAGCCAATCACCTGGCAAAGATTGTCCCCTACGCCTTTCCCTCAGGCTGTAGCCACGGCACAGAGTGCCCCTAGGCCTAGCCTCAGGATCTAGGCTGGGGTGAGGCAGCCACGCCCCGGCCCGCCCCGCCCACGGGCAGCCCCTCGCGGGCCTCTCTGTCCCGCTCGCAGCAGGCCACCATCACGAGGACCCCCCCCCCTTGTAAGTCAGTGAGGGGCCTTGAAACCGAACTCACTACTACCGGGGGGGGCGGCTCGAAACTACCATCACCTGGACCACCAGGTCCATCAGCTAGCTTGTCCCCAGACAGGGAAGGACTCAAGCACAAGACACACAGGACCAGGTCCTGCCTCCCCCGACCCCTGCTTGGGGCGTGCGCAGGATGCCCCTGATCCCAAGGCCTCTCTCAACCTGTTCCCGGGAGGATCGGGTCACTGGGCACAACAGGCCTGTGTGCAGGGCCCCAGCTCCGGGGATCGCGTGGTTCTGTCAAAGCCTCGATTTTCAGGGACAAATAAAACCCGTTTTCCAGGGTTCCCAAGGAAAGCCTGAAAACCTTTTGTCTGGAACATCATGCAACAAGATGGCTCCCCAGCCCTCCTGGGCCATCCCTCACTGGCTCTGGCTCGAGATAAGTCACTGGTGAAGCAACATCTGCTCAAATCTGCAGACAGCCTAAAAAGCAAGGCAAAGGTGTAAGCTGCTCCTTTCATCTTGACACTGAAATGCTGCTATCCCCAAGGAAGGGGCAGGCCCTGGCAGGGCAGATGCCAAGTGTCCCCAATTTTCTCATCCCAGCCCTTTCCAAAACACTGTTACAAAATGTTCAAACTCCACCCTAACATGGCCCAGGGTGAAATCTCTGCGTGGAATTGCAACCTTTGATCCTACCTGGGGGGGTGGGGAACAGAGCTCAACACACATGGCCAAGATGCAGCCACCCAAATCATCCCCACCATGCAGCAGTATACAAGCCCCGATGACATACAAGATATCACAGTTGCCTCAAGGTAATGTTCCTTTGTACCACGGGGACATTTTGCTAGCAAGACAGCAACAATTCAAGGCTAAGCCCTCAGAAATTTGCACTGCAATATTCCACTCTGCTTTCTGGTGGCTCTGATTCAATGATCTCACAATGTGTTGTTGCCTCTCAACTTTGATAATGCATCCTCTTGCTCTTGGTTGCTCCAGTCGGCAATGATGTGTTAGTGTTTAGTTAGCTTATTCAAAGATCTTTACAATATTTTCTTATATAAGATTTTAAAGCAAGATCCAGAATCCTACTATTGGGTGGGTAACTTAATACCCTGATAAACACGCTAATCAGTAACAAGTCATCAGAGGACAATGTGATGAAGATCTTTTTATCTAACTCATGACAGACAGGGGTCACCAGGAGAGAAGGCTACATAGCCATTTGAAAGATGTGTATCACAATAGCACTGGATACAATCACAGTGACTGTAAATTGGAGAACCACGTACAGATGATAATGCACTACCTGATGGACCATCAGCACTTACGTAGGAGAGGCAGAACTAGCACCTACCAAACGTGGATATATAACCAGACTACAAGATAAGACAACAATTACAATACCATGCACAAGCCACTAAAAGTATCAAACTTAAAAAGCAGACTGTCTGGAAATGTTTTTCCAGATAATTGTTATTATCAACACTTGAAAGGACTAGAACTAGAAGAGATTAAATATTTGTCCAGTATGTTTACTTGGTGTTTGTGCATTTGACAGCAATTTATGCCTAGTCGATTTCACTGATCTCCTATTTTCCATCAGTTTCTTGCACTGTTTGTGTGGGTTTCTCTCACATTAAGGAGTCAGAGAAGACATTTTAAAAAGAAGGAAACTGATAGTAAACACTGGTAAAAAGATCAGTGGCAGATACAGGACCCAAAACTAATTAGCTGGAGTCTGAATTAAATGTGCACCTCTTTACTGAAGCACCATAACATTCAAGCCAGTTGCAGATGCTGAACAAAGGAACTTTCCCAAAACCATCAGGTTCAGACACTTAGGAACAAAGGAGTGGAAGGGGACTCCTGGACCATCAAGTCAAGTCCATTTACCCAAGGATTCTGCAAAGTTGCCACTTCAAGGCCTCGCACTTAACTACAATGTACAAACCCAAAAACTGCAAGAACATGGACCAAGAACTCCTACAACATGCCACAGGTCAAAAAAGCGGGAGATCAGGGCATGGCTGATGCCCTGCTATTGGGGTGATGGAGAAGTAATTGGTCCCCAGTGGGGACACCAGAGCAAGGCTGAATAGGCAAGCAGCCAGATTTCTTCTTGATAATTAACTCCAGTTCTATGAGGAAACAGTATAAAAATGACTGCAACCATCTCTCTAGGAATCTACATCCCTCAGAAGAGCTGGGGTATCTTCTTTATCCACAGCTAACATGGAAAATCTACCAGAGAAGGCTGCAGCTAGCTGCCTTTTGCAAATGAAGGCCTGCATTGCAGCCCATAGATGTGCCTTCTTCTAAATATCCATAGCTTTACAGCACAAAAACAAACTTTTTCCACATCTGTAGATGGGGCACAATTTCCCTTTTCAGCACTGACAAAAAAAACCTCACAAACAGCAAAGACTGAAAGCAGGGATGCCAGCTAATTGGCTGGGCTATTAGATGCATTTAGAACGCTGTCTTCCACCTTCTCAAAAGCCTCCCATTGTTTTTTGGACATTGCTGAAATGAATCTCAGGTTCCCTCTCACTCTCTTGTGAGCAGCTGAAGCAATTTACCATTGGGAAAACTGAGACAAAGATAGGTTAAAAGACTCACCCAAGGTCCTACAATGTGTCCGTGGCAAAGCTGGGCATGAGCTCTAGTAATCTTTCCTCCCAGTGCTTTGCCCTCACCATACTTCCTCATGCAGTAAGCATGTCTATAGTCCTTAATTTAGTGACTGCTACTTGTAGGATCCGTTTTTGTTCCATGCCTTTTCTTCCTGTCTTGAGCAATCTCTCTTAATCTCAGGGTCTTGTCTATAAGTGTTCTGCATTAGCATGGGAGTCAAAAAACATCTACAACAGGTTTCAGAGCCTGCTTTATGTTCTCCATGTTTGGAACCATGGTGTCTTCATAATACCTAGCCTTCAGAGAAGTGAAGTGACTTCTCAGAAGCCAGGTTCAGAGCTGGGAACAGAACCCAGGTCTCCCATATCTTGGTCCATTGGTGGCCTACAATGAATCCTTAAACCATGACCATTTATCTTCCTTCTCCATCTCCCCTCTGTAAAGGGTGGGGGGGAAGGGGAGGGGAGAGGAGGAAGAAAGGTTTGTGAGTGATGGGCTTAGTCTGATCATCAGTAGCATGATTATTCTATGAATGCAACCTGAGGGCCTCCCTGGTGATGGGTGCTCTATAAGCTATTTAAATAAATAAATAGAAATAAGTATTTGTGTTAAAAAAAAAAATCACCTTCCAGCAGATTATTTATATCTTTTCCAATTGATCCATGTTGCTAAGGCTGGGCGCTCTGCCCAAATCAATGATGGCTCCCAAGCAAACTTGCCAGCACTCAGGGGCACAGCTGCCAGACCCTGTCCAACTCTGTGCTGAGCTTGCTCTCTGCAATTGTTTGAAGCTGTGTGGATAATCATGGGCAGATTCAGTAGGAACCTAAGACACCACCCAGATGATTGCTATTTATACAGTGCTGCAGTTGCCTGGAGCAGCAACCACTGCCAAAAACAGATGCCCTCATTCTCAGCCCCAGAGGGCTGGCGGCCTAACTCAGATATACAGGATACCAAGACAACACATCAGGCATAGGGAGATGTAGAAGTGGTAATAGATAACTCTGAAGCTAGCAAGGATGCATTAGGTTGAAGGTTGGTAGCTGGTGCCCATCTCAGGAGTCTTTGCTCTAAAAGAAAATGACAATCTTAATTAAAAGTGATGTTGTAGCAGTGATGGTCCAGAAATTGAAAGACAAGGATTTCTTAGGGCGGTATCTTTTATTGGACCAACTATGTAGCTAGGATAGAGTTAGACAAGCTTTTTAATGCAAGACATTCTTCCTCAGGTCAGAGGATGACTCTTGACCTGAGGAAAAATATGTTGCATTCCAAGGCTTGTTGAACTATCCCAACCACATAGGAGGTCCTATACAAGATATCGCCTTAGAAATTCTTCAACCCTAATTAAAGTCA